CACCAACCCTTTACTCATTACATTCATTCGTTATACACCAGACACCTTCAAAACAAGAAAAAATGAGCGTGGAAGTGTTGGATTCGGCCACCATCATCGGCTTCGTGGAGGACGAGGAGGCCTTCGATGCCTTCATTGGCGACCGCTTCTCGTGCCTCGACGTCGACCGCGACGGCTGCCTCTCCTATGCCGAGATGCTGCAGGATCTGCAGGGCCTGCGGGTGTTCGAGACCCACTTCGGGGTCGACGTGAAGCCGGACCCCGACGAGCTGGCCCGCGTGTACGGCTCGCTGTTCGTGCAGTTCGACCACGATGCCAACGGGTCAGTGGACCTGGAGGAGTTCAAGGCAGAGACGAGGAGGATGATGCTCGCCATGGCCGACGACTTGGGGTTCTTGCCGGTCCAGATGGTGTTGGAAGAGGACAGCTTCTTGAAGAAAGCCGTGGAGCGTGAGCTCACCAAAGTTGCTGCTTAATTTGGAGTATTTTATCTAGGAGAGATTAATCATAAGGGGAAGAAATGTGGTCGTATTTGAGATTTTGTCATTTTTTATGGTGTTTTTATTTACACACCTTTGTTTTCTGAACTGAGTTATGTACCCGAGAATGATGTTACGGATGAAATTAAAAGATTTAGTATTTTTTATCAATTCGTGTCGAGATCGTTGGACCGTCATGCTTACAATTATTAGGGCAATTTCCAAGCATTACAATGTATGAAAACGGGGAAACTGAAAAAAAATTGAAAAGAAACGAGACTAATTCTCTCAAAAGATGAAATTATTTTGTTTAGTTTGTTTTATGTTGTGAGTAATCGTGGTAAGAACTAGAAAAGAAAAAATTGCATGTTTGGCGTTTGGAAAGCATGCTAATTGTATCACAACTCGTACTAAGCAACATTTCCGTTTTGACAAGGCAAACCAATCCGAGCGAGGAGATCCACCGATATCGAATTGTGTCCGAAAGATTAATTGAAGAATTCCTGAAGATGATGAAAACACCGAAAGCTGTGGTATTTGAAATTCTGTGGTCATCATCTTTCGAATAAAATAAAGTAACCTAAATGCCAAGTCACTTCCGGTGCAAGAGATCTGCCAACGAAGGAATGGAAAATAAAGTCAAAAAGCCGAGACCCTTGGTTTTGAACGGAGAAAGAAAAGGGGTTTGACCTGTGCACCGACTTCCCTCGCTTCCTCGCACTTAGGTTATGTTATGTTATTCCTTCTCTAGGTGCTGGTCCATTGTTTCTGAAATTTTTAGACAAAGTAAACTGAAAAAGGACACTGTGCCTACATATTCGGTGCCTGAGAAGTCAGTATTTCACGCCATTCTTTCGTGTCCCAACGTGCACAGAGCTCACATGAACCGGATGCATTTGATAAAGTTTCCCTAAATTTCAACTTGATTTCGATGAATTTCTTGAGCTCTGGTTGAGGTCCTCCAGTTAAAAGTCGAATATTTGTTTGGATTCGATTCTCTAGGGAACAAATCAATAACGGTCATAAAGCGCGGTTGTGATGGCAGACTTCCGTACCAATCCATGCAACTCTTTTTTGTTCCAACGCCAAACAGATGGTCACACAACATTTGTAATTATGAAGATATTAACTTCTTCAAAGATTAGTAATGAAATCATATTGAAAGTCATGTAAAGTAGTAAACAACTCAGATTGTTGGATAGGTTGTTGGAGCGTCAAGCTTTATTAATTAAACAAAGGGATATGTGTACTGAAATTCCTAAAACTTATCACGATAGTGCAATTGAATCTTAAAACTTGCAAAAGGTGCAATCAAATCCTAAAACTTGTCAAATTGATTTAACCGAGTCCTTTCGTTAATTCCGTCTAATTTAACTAACTGAAAATGCTGACGCAGCTTTTTTTCATTATTTTCTCTATCTTGCATGGGGATGATGTGGCTAAAACGACGTCGATTTGGTCCAAATCCGATTTTTAATAAAAAAATTTATTTAAATTCAACTTAAAAAATAAGCTAAAAAAAGGGATAAACTAGGCCAATAAGGGCTGCAGCCCTCGCCGCCGCCGCCGAGCCTCTCTCAGGGGCCAACGACCCTCGCCGACCATAGATGAGGGTCGCAACCCTCCCCCAGATCGGGCGAGAGTTACCGGCCCTCACCTAGACATGGCCTAGGGCCGTCACTGGCGGGGGTTGATCACCAATGGCAGCCCTTGGTTAGGTCTGGACGAGGGTGGGGCGGCAATGGCGAGGGCTATAGCCTACATCGCCTGGTTTCTCCCTTTTTAAAATTTAATTAAATAAAATTTGTACTAAAAAATCATATTTAGACCAAAATGACGTCATTTTAGCATTATGTTTCACGATTTAACCATGTGGGAGAGAGGAAAAAAAAAAGCCACGTCAACATTTTCTGTTAACCAAGTTGGACGGAATTAACGGAAGAACTCGATTGCATCAATTTGACAAGTTTTCGAACTTTATTGCATTTTTTGCAAATTTTAAAACTCAATTGTATTTCGTGACAAGTTTTAGGACTTCTAGCGCACATATCCCTTGAACAAATGATCTCTGAACTTGTATTTAACATTCTTTTAGTGGATATGAAACATGCTAATTGATATATATTAATCAACACGTGTATACATAATTTTCCGCTAGTTAAGTACATTCTTGGAAGAGATGTTTGTAATTATAAAGAAAACATGTCGCAATGTTAGTGATTTAAAAATAAAAAGTGGTGGCCCTGGTGCACACATGCATCTCACGTATATCTCACGTGCATATCACGTGCTATTGAGATGCGTGAAGCATGGGTTACCATACGAGTCAATTTAATTAGCTATTTTCATTTACATACCAATTGAAGAAATTTCATTTACCCTCTTGTCAAGAAGCCATCAATTTATCAACAACTTTAATTGGTCACAGATGCTTATCTGTTACTTCATGATGATCGCTTTATGCCTCTCGGTGATCCATGTTTGACTATAATTAGGGAAATTGGAACAACCCCAAACTAGACCGATATACGCATCTTGGGAAGATAAAAATACAACCGATATATGATATGGTCCATTTATGCATAGTGTATATGTTTATACATCGATTGAAGAGATTTCGATTATCCTCCTCTCAAAAAACGATAATTCATCAACAATGGCGACTGATTGCAGATGCTTCATCTTTTACTTCGTGATGATTGCTTTATGCCCTGCGGTGATGCATGATGACCATGCAAGACTAGTCCTTGTGACAGAGAGTGCTAGAAGATACCCCGGTGCCGAAGCGACGACCCTCCCCAGCTCGCAAGCCCTGGCAATAAGGTTGTTGCCACCCAAAATGCTCCGCCACCTCCTCCGCCATGGATGAGAGCGTGTTCGAAGACAGATCGATGCAAGCAGGGTCTTCCGATGTGAGTTGAAGAATTAGTCATAGAACTTATTAGGAATAGAGCTGGTTTTGTGTTATTTATGTAATTGTTTTGTTTCACGTCTGAAAAATGAAAATCATGAAAATAAAACTCCGTTTAGGATTTATTTATGGAGAATATGTACCTTTTTCACCTGAAAAGATGATATTGGCTCCAAATTTAGCTTTTATTTATGAATTATACATAAAATTTCATATATTAGCTATACGATTTTGATGTCTAATTTCACTGTATACAGTGATTCACTTCCTTTCGTATAGCATGATGAAATGAAATCGAAATTTTTTGTTAGACTTTGCTCAAGAGGCCTTTTTAGAGGGGGGAAAATTTATCACAAACCCAATCGATACAAGGACTGTCAATGGCAGAATCCATAGTTGTCAATCGTAAGAGGTCATGAAAACCACAAGCCAAACCAGATTAAAGACCTTAATATAGATCTTTAGTTGTTAATAAAGTCCGAACACATCGTCTTTATGATGAAATGTACTTTAATACATCATGCGATACTTATGACAGCTGAAGTATCAGCACAACAGCATCAGCCAATTTGATTCGATGTTTCATCGTGTATCTTACTAACAAACAATGAAATGGATCGTGTAAATTAAAAGATTTGATTGGCATGTTAATATAATATAAGCACACTATTTCTCCTTCATGCGGTATCTAGTTTTCGAATAGCGGATTAAGTCCGCCTTCCCAATTCAATCAAAAGTTAGCTATCTACATAAACACTTTTGGGCGGCCATGAACAAAGGCATGGCTATAAAACTAGCTTGACCCGGTTGGACCTTAGCCGTGCCGCATAGCTATGCTATATTTTTTCTTGATGTGTCGGTCAAATAATGTTTTAGGCCCAGTAATAGGTTGCGGGAAAATTGTTGAAAAAGTCATAAACCTTTGACATTTGTGCCAATTTAGTCCTAAATCTTTTTTTGGTGTCAATTCAGTTCTAAACATTTTGCATTAGTGCCAATTCAGTCCTAAACCTTTTGTCTTTATGCCAATTCAATCCTTATAGTCAATTTTGGCCGGATTTTGCTGACGTGAACGCTGGCCGGCTGGCAGCCGGTCACTGGCAACCGGTCACCGGCACTAACATGGATAACTTTTAATAACATTTTTTTTGAATTTTTATTTTTCTTTTCTTTGTTTTTTTCCTTCCCCTCCCTCCTTCCTCTGGCCAGTTGCTGGACCGGCGACCGGCCAGAAGCCAAAGGCCGGCGAGGTGGACCTCGCCGGTGGCTGGGCGAGCCTCGCTAGTGGATGAGATGGGTTTGGTTATATTTTCCTATTTCGAGGAACAATTTGTAAAATGGTTACAAATTCAAATGTACATATGAAAATTAAAACAGAATTGGAGAAAATCAAATTGAAAATCCTACCGTTTAGCTATATGCATGTGAGCACGCGTCTAGGAATGATCAAAAAGCTCTTTCTAGGACGACCAAAAGGTCGGTTCAAAGGAAAGAAGAGAACAAACCGAGGCCGTAATACGACGGGCCAAAACGTTCGGTTGGCGCTTCAAAAGCACGCGTTTCAAAATCAACCGAACAAAATATCACTTCTTTAACCGTTCGTCCAGCTTATAAATAGCCTCTTCAACATGAACAGACCACAAACGACCTTCACATCAACAACCGAAAGCAACCTTCTCATCTCTGTTTCTCTCTCTCTCTCTCTCGCACCAACCCTTTATTCATTACATTCATTCGTTATACACCAGACACCTTCAAAACAAGAAAAAATGAGCGTGGAAGTGTTGGATTCGGCCACCATCATCGGCTTCGTGGAGGACGAGGAGGCCTTCAATGCCTTCATAGGCGACCGCTTCTCGTGCCTCGACGTCGACCGTGACGGCCGCCTCTCCTATGCCGAGATGCTGCAGGATCTGCAGGGCCTTCGGGTGTTCGAGACCCACTTCGGGGTCGACGTGAAGCCGGACCCCGACGAGCTGGCCCGCGTGTACGGCTCGCTGTTCGTGCAGTTCGACCACGATGCCAACGGGTCAGTGGACCTGGAGGAGTTCAAGGCGGAGACGAGGAGGATGATGCTCGCCATGGCCGACGACTTGGGGTTCTTGCCGGTCCAGATGGTGTTGGAAGAGGACAGCTTCTTGAAGAAAGCCGTGGAGCGTGAGCTCACCAAAGTTGCTGCTTAATCTGGAGCATGTTATTTAACAGTGATTAATCATAGTGGGAAGAAATGTGGTTGTATTTGAGATTTTGTCATTTCCTATGGCGTTTTTATTTACGCACCCCTTATTTTCTTAACTAAATTATGTACCTAAAGAGTGCTATTACTGATGGATATAAAGGACTTAGTATTTGTTATTAATTCGTGTCGAGATGATTGGACCGTCCTGTTTTTTGGCGGACCTAATATAAGTGTACAATTTATACTGTCGTTTATGATCAGGGTAATTTTTCGAGCATCGCAATGTACTAAAACCGGGAAATGTAAAGACTCGCAAAAAACAAATTAGACAAATCTTAAGATGACATTATATTGTTTTTTTTTTTTTGGTAAGGAAAGATGACATTATATTGTTTATCTTCATTTGTTTCGTTAAGGATCATGGTAAGAACTCAAAAAAAAAAAAATAGCACGTTCGGCATTGGGAAAGCATGGTAATTGTATCTTAACTCGTACCTTAATCAGTAATATGAACCAACCACACAAGAATTGAAATTTAGAGGTCATCATCTTGCGAATAAAAAAAAGTGCAGTCAAAGAGCTGAGACCCTTGTTTTAGAGCGGAGAAAGAAAAAAGCGATTTGACTTGTGCACCGATTTCGTAACCTTGGCCTAGAAGCACTGTGAGTAGGTGGCGTCCCTCGCTTCCTCGCACTCGCGTTATGTTTTTCCTTCTCTAGGTGCCTGGTCGATTGTTTCTGAATTCTATAGACAAAGTAATCCGAAAAGGACATTGTATACATGCTCGGGCCGTGGGAAATCACATTTCGCATTATCTTTTTATGTTCCGACGTGCACAGAACTCACATGGACTGGATGCATTTGATAAATTTACCCAAGATTTCACCTTGATTTCTATGCATTTCTTGAGCTCTTAGTGCAGGTCCTCGAGTCAAAAGCGAAATATTTGTCTAGATCCAATTTGCTCCGGACCAAATCAACGACGAACATATACGCAGTTGTGACGGCGGCACGTCAATTAGTGTCGATGCTCATGGATCTCGCCTTGGGTCATACACCATAAACCAACAACATAGAGGTCCCCCAGAATGCTTAAACCTAGTATATAATGATATTCCTTGTCAAATTGCTTAGCAAGTGGCCAGGGAGTCTCGATTAGTTTACATTGACAGACGGAACCGTGCTATCGAAGTCAGTCGTCTCTTCGAAGACATTCGATAAAAAAAAAAAGGGAATCGAAGCCGTCGACACTTTCAACTGTTTGTTGATGGTCGGTGTCCAAACCTCAGGAAACAACGGATTCACTCGCAGTTTCAACACAACAGCAGAGGCCCACTGATTCACATGGTCCACGGAAATTAAAGCTACAGCGCAGCAACGCTTGTGCTAAAAAGTCATGCTTTCTAGTGATTAACAAACAAGTCCACATGAACAGTAGTATCAGGAAGATTCTGCAGATTTGTACTGGGCCACCACTTCTAGATCCCAAAATACTAACGAAATAAGGCAACTTACATAAGGAAAATGACCAACGCCTTAAGAAATTACCATCATTTATTAGGAAATTACCAATGACGAATCAGATATTCGCGATTCCGGTGGATTCGATTCCCCATCGGAATTGAAAAGATAAAGGCTCCGTTACCTGCATAGAATGGACAGGACTCGAGGCCAAATGGCTAAAAGTGTTTTTCGTTTTTTGGTCAACTACGTCTAATCATTCGACCCAAAAAACAAACTTCGTCTAATCATATTGTACACGCCCATGTAGTGCAATGTTAGCGGACTGCTAACATTACAAAAAGACTGACAATTCAGGGGACGGAATGAAGGGAATGAGGCTCTCGCCAAACTGCTCATGCAAAGAGACTAGGAGACGCCCCGAGTCCAAGTCGTCCTTCCAAATTTGTCGCACCATAGCTGACATGTTCACAGACCGACTGCTCCCGTTGACTCTTCCACTTCCGGTGCCCGCATCATCATCATTAGGGTCCTTCCCTGCAGCGGATGGAGTGGCATCTGCATCGGAATCGTTGGAAGGAGTCACAGCAGCGGCTTCTTCTCGCCCATTAGTGGGTGATGGGTTGGTGGACACTGCATTTATTGTCCCATCAACGGCCATTTTCTTCAGGGGTGACTGCTGCTCCAAGTGCTCCGTGCTTGCTCCGCGTTTCTCTGATGTTTTCAAAGAAGCTTAAGGCATTAGATTTACTCTGACCCAAATACTAATAGCGTGGATCACGTTTCAGTTGTCCAAATAAATGTATCTCCCAAGTCACAATGTTCATTTGTAAAATACAATGCTGTGAGTCAAGACTATCAGTTAATTTCTCCCTACTCAAGTCACTTTCTGGAAGCTCGATCCCGACTCCTTAGAAGGTTAGCTCGTCATATGATCAGCCAACAACAACCTAGAGAACACTCTCCTATCAACTGGACAAAAAGTTAAAACCCAGACTCTGTCTTCTTATTTGCAGAACAAGGTAGCACTACAAAATGGGCCACACAAGAAGCAGGCGAAAGAAATGATAGCCAAAAAATAAAAAAGAATTGGGTCCCATCCTTGAAACCAATGGTACTTCATTCAAGAAGTCCATCAGAAACTCTGTCCAATGACTTGTGGCCATATGATTGTATGAGCAAATAAATTTGAAGCAGTCAAAATAAACGCAAGAGTACTACTTACTCAAGAGTGAAGTAATAACTCTTGCATTAGTCTTCCAGACAGCTCCTGGTTGAAGGGATGGCAGAGGCGGGAGGATCTTGAAGCAGTCATACAGGCTTTGACCGGATGCATGCTGGAAAGCATTTTGCATCATGACATGCTCAGCATGGATCAAACTGTCACAGTTCACAATAATACAAATGTTGAGCACAATAGACTCACCAGCAAGGCCCCATAAACTCGCCAAGCTTCATGCCTCTTTATTTTATTTTTCTGCGTCTCAAGAAGCATCTCTGGTTCAAGGAGTTGCAGATATGGCTCCAGATTTGGCAGTATGAGAAGGCGAACCTATCAGCATTAAAAGAGGCTGATAACGAGCAAAATAAGAAAAAATAACGCAAAAGAGTTTATCTTTTAGGGTATTGTAACATAGATTTCGGGACCATTTTATAGCATGCATCAAGTTATGCAGCACTTCTTAGTTCTAGTGAGGATAGACAAAGAAAATACCACATTAGCTCCCAAAGCTGCTAAACCTTGAACTGCACCATAGTGTGTCGCCAATGTGTGTTTTGGGTTCAAAAACGCATTGATCAGTTGCCTCGTAAGACGCGATTGCAGAGTATTATAAACTTGCCCGTACCTACAAGAGACTGGAAACATTATTCCTCCAGGAAAGGTAAAATCTGTAGGACACTGAAAGCAACAACTCCAGAACCATAATCATAAAGTACAGAAGGTATGAACCAGTCAACCGTGGTGCACTTTCAGTCTGAAGTAGACAGCAACTGTGGAAACCAAGCATTATTTTAGAAAGTGCATCGATGTCTACTAAATTACCATCGTCCTTATAAGCTCATGCCACCAAGCAGAACATACTCAGCACAAGGATGAAGCCATCACATTCATCTATTTTTCCAGTGAGAACATGTTCGATGACACATATTTAAACATTACAATTTGGATTTTCAATAGGAGTAGTCCTCCTAAAGCTATGGAAAAAATACAGAAAACACAAAAGGAAAACTCAAGATTGAAATCCTGAATTCCTAAGTTTCTATACTTCATCTTATAAAGTTCAGTCTAAGGTCCAAATTGGCCTAAAAATTGGTCATTTGATCCCTATATCCAAAACATGAGAATGAAACCAATGTTGCGTGCTCATCCAGCAATATCTCAATTGACTAGTCTTCACAGCATCCTAAGAATACAGGAGAAATGAAAGGAAAAACTGAAACGAGACCATTGACTATAATGGTTCAGGGTCAGATATAGTCCTTGATGATTGCCTTTGCTGGCCCAGATAGAAGTATCACCTTTTGCATATAGAGGAAACCAGGTTTGCTGCAAAATCTCTAAGCTCCCAGTGATTGTCCGCAAGCCTTTTTCCCAACCTCTTTGCTACAAGACACGTGACAACAGCTGGCATCAACTGATGTAACTGGCAATAAAAAAAGATTTTCTTCTCAGGCTTCCAGAGGAATATGATTTATAAGACCTGAAAATTTATGTGTACTACTAAGTTGCACCATCTCCTATAGCGACTTCTGGGTGAAAAGACTATTCGAACCAAGAACTCGACCAAAATCTTCTAAAGATCTTGACAGTTACAGAAAGGTCATTCGAGATTTGCCCAACCAAATATAAAGTCAAGATGCATAGGGATCCCATTCAAGATGACCTTGAAGAGAAACAAATTGACCAAAAACACTGTGACCGACTCAACATGTGTAATCCTTGTTAGCATCAGAACAAGTATGCCACTCTAGATATATACAAAAAGCACACCCATCTAAAGTTTCTTTCCAGACATACAAGTTTGCCTATCTGGCCACTTGTTCAATTGACTTCCTTCTGAAATTTCCAATCACAAAAATAACAAAAATCAGTTTTGGACACAACAAAAAAAAAAGTTGAAATAGACGCGTAGAGATTTCTAGCTCAAAGCCCCAAACCATTGTAAAACAGGATGCTAAGTTCCTGTCTTTCAGAATAAGAGGAGGTCTCTAAAAAGAGAATATAGGACCATTTGAGAAAAACAGATCAAGCAATAACTTGTCTCCAAACTTGATTACCACAACAGCCAAAAACAGGTTTCTACCTCTCTACCTTTATATCATTGGTTAAAGAAGTTGGAAATTCATAATGCAATAGGAGAGGACATATTGACTTTGTAGGCATGAGGTTCCTCTATAGCCTCCCAAATATATTCTGAAGAAAACTCTAATTTCCAGACAGAAAGTATCAATAACAATATATATCAAGAGGTAGCGATGCAAGTCCAATTACTAAGAAGACAAACGTCATCTAAATGGAGAAGGCGCTGAGCCCAAGCCTTGTCCTTCCTGCCTGAAGAAAGTAAATAGCTGGTTACCTCAATACATACCCCACCACACCCAAATCAATGCTCGGCTTAGCTTGTTTCCGCTGTGACGATGACTATTTGGGATGAGAATTACAAAAAAAAAAAAAAAAAAGGAAGCTGATGGGCGTGCAAAAACCAACAACTGAAATCGGAACAAGAAGTCTCTACTGTGTGGTTTCACCTCTAAAGATCTTTAGAAAGGAGGCAAATATGTGGGCTAACAAGTATGACAGAGAAATCGCATCCACAGGTATAACATAAATACTGATAGAAAAAATCAAGCTAAATAAGGAATCTATACTTCAAAATGATACGAAAACAAGTATGCAAAGGTTCCACTTACATAAGGTTCCATATTGATGTGAGGATTATGAAGGAGACTACGAACAACACGCAGTAAGGCCAAAAGAAGGGGCAAATCATTTAAGCCACGAGATACCTAACAACACAAGAAGAAGCAGAGGTTAGAGAAGCATCAAAACTAGGCTAACTTACAGTGTATCTAAAGCATACCTCATCAGCTACAAAGCATGTGAAGTACGGGACAAGTGGATGGAGTCCTGAGTCTGTAGCCAAACTCACTAACGCTTCTTTGAAAAGGACTGAATCGGGGCTTCTCATAGTTAGCTCGGTAATCCTTTCAAAATATATCTGCAAAGATACAAGGATAGCTAGCATAAGCAAGACAGAAAAACTGATATGCAGAAAAAATGGTGAGGCTGAGAAACACATGAATCAACCCATTATCATTAAATCTTAAACTAGAAAATTGTCGCACAGATGAGATTCCACCATAATATACATCTTTCACACACAAAACTTTCTGTACATACAAGAAACTTCTCAAATATATCCTTCTTTCTTTCTTTTTGGCTCAAGCAAACATATATTATTGTTAAACTGCACTCTGTGTATCATATACCTGAAGCTCTCTTGACAGCACATGCCTGATAGGAAGTCTAATGTCTACAGGAAGTCCGTCATCCTTTTGTTCTTGACTTTTGCCATGAGGAGGAGCCGTAATTACTAAAAGAAAGGATAAACAGTGGTTAGCATTAGAGTTCCGTACGTAATATTCATATAAAGAAATCTATGATTGGATTCTCAACTATTGTATTCTAACAACAAAAAAAAACAAGAAAAAGAAAGGCAGCTCATGCTACCCTCATCAAACTACATGACATTCTACTAAAGGTAGCACAATGTTAATGTTAATTACATGAATTTGTCCACTCACTTCATACCAAGATTTTTCTTGAGTGAACATTTAAATTGACACGTGCAATTATTAGGAGAAGGGACTTTAGAGTCCAAGTTAAGACAGACCTTCTACAGGAACATTTTCAGGAATAGCAGGTTGTACACCTTCAATGGCCAGCCAGTGACAATGGACAGCAGTATCAAGAGGAGCTTTGGGTAAAGGAGCTTCAATAACCTGCAACACCAACGGTGATTCGGTCAAAAACTCCAATACGCAACCTGACCAAGACAATTCAAAATGACAGCTGCTCCTTAGTCCTTACGTCTTTAATGTCTACATCTTTGTCATCAAGGTAAAACAAATCTTTATGTCCAATAGCTCTTTTGAACTGCAAAGCTCCACTGGAGGCAAACCCATAAATTGGCTGGTGCACACAGAGACGGAAAGTTACAAGCTTCAGAAAAGATTATGTATAATTGTCACAAACGTAATTTCAATAATCAAATCCGACGCACCATCATTTCCATTGACTCATCAAAACCATGCAATTGTTGCCAGTACGTAAGGTACAGATGACAAAAGATTCACGTTGTCCTACTTTGCAAATTAAAAGACGAAAAGCAAACTAAAGTACCCGTGTTGATCTAAACAAGAAAGAAAAGAACACCGTAGACGAAAACACATTAAATGGGCTCATGAAAGCTATACCCAGGGGCTGCGCACAAGTGCTTTAACTATTGTTCCTGTTCTAATCTAGCCGATAGTTCACTCTTTATTAATCCGGTTTATGCCCTACAAACTACTCGATTTCGGTTCCACCAATTCAAAACTGATTATAATGACTATTTATGCAAGAACTTGATGAAAAGTACCTCGACATTTTTCAAGTTCAAAGCACCATCCACATCATCAACTGTTAAGACTGTTCTCCTGGAGTGGCGCATGCATTTGATAGCTTCCTGTATTCCATCAGATGCTTCTCAAATCACTTCAATACATATCAGCATTTTCTATGCTTCTCAATTACTTCAAAATGACTAATCAACGTCCAAAAGAAAACTCATAGTAAACGGAAAAAACACAGGTCCTCAAGTGCAGAACAAAAACGCATTGACTTCAAGAACTCAAAAGCAAGTGAGCAAATATTCAGCCAATTTGAGCCAGATTATGGGAGACGTATACCTAGCAAAATTTCATCACTCCAAACAAGAGAATGACAATAGAATCAAAAACCAAAAAAAAAGGGTAAGAAAAAGCACTGAGAGTGAAAGGCAAAGCTCATTTAGATATGGAAAGATGACAAATAGGAAAAACAATGAAGAAATGCTAATAGACTCATAGCTGACCCCGACCGTATTTCAGATGTCTAAGACAATCTCTCCAGTATGTAGACTAATTTTATGAATGCCTGTGCTAGTAGTACCTAATAAATCCAGCAATCACTTAAGAAGAAAGAAAAGGAGATGATTTTAGTGGAACAACTCCTTGTTGAAAGTTCTACCGCGGTCACCTTTCTCTAATTTGAAGGCAAAACATCACAGAAATGATTGTCACTCCAGAAAGATTTAAACTGGAACAAATACACTAACCTATAATATATGATACGAAATCAATAACCCTATACGTAAATTTACACAGAGAGATCTCCAGTTCATAAATTTCTAGCCATATCGTAAAGCATAGATCTTTTGCTAACAAGATAACAACGTGACGATAACCGATTTTCCTAACTTTTAGAATATCTCTGAGGGAAAAAGGAAGTTTCGGAAAATCGGTATTCCTTGCACTTATAGCAGCTACTCATTATTATGCTTGAATGCTGACAGTCTGCCACAATCCATAGGAACCGCACGACGATAAGTTCCAGCGAGAAAAACAACAATTCAATCGGTCCTGAGTCAATCAAGTATTACATCATTACTAATTAAGAGAAGGCACATATGGTTAGGATAACTACACGCGGATTCCTCACAATTGTTCGACGAAAATGCCTTATCAAGATTCCTACACGAAGAAACGCTGCGATTACTCGACGACGGCGCAATCGAGCAAAACGGGTATGGACATTCAATCAAAGATTACACAATCACGAAAACTCAACAACGGTCCCCAACCTCATCCACCTGAACCACAGCGCACAGAAGCGCAGCGGCGCTATACCTGCATGATCTCGCGCAGGCGGTATTCGACATCGGGCGCTAGGGCGAGCGCGGCGTCGGGCGACAGGTTGCTGATCCCGATGCTCTGCGCTATCACCTCGATCGACTCCTTCGGCACTATGCTCATCCTCTTGTCTCCCTCACTCCGTCAGCTCTGCACTGTGCTCCGACCAAGTTTTCATGAATCGAGGACGCGGGAGCAAAGCAAAATCCGGCGAGCGCTCGCTCGATCGAGCCTCGATCGGCGAACACACAGAGCTTCTCGTCTCTGCGACGAGAACCCTAGCGAACGGAGCGCGCACCGTCAGCTGCTCCTGAATTTCGAGCTTGTTCATAGGACCCTGGGAAGAGAGCGCAGTTTATAGCTCAAATTTCAGTTCAGGGGAGGCGCAATTACCTTTTTGCTCCTCGAGTCCAGTCCAATTTTATCTGGAAAAATTTTCTGGTCAACTTTTATTAATTGGGATTTTTCCCATCCGAAAGGAAAGAAAATTCGGGATTATAAAAGAAATTAAGAATGATCTGTCACCTGTGATTTTCATGCTCTCTAATTCATTCATTCTAAATTATTTATTTTTTTTAGTGCTTGAATCGAGTTCTAACTTACGAGCGCAGTGCAAATTACACGAATAAATTGAACTCGTTGGTTAATTTTTCGACATCGTCCCATGTCGTGTTCAAGCTTCATCATTGTCATAGATGGATCTATTCCCATGACCCAATAAAGACTCGGGCTTTTAGTACAAGTTGAGTAGACCCGATCGATGTCTGGTTGTTTACAAGCCACCAAAGACGGCAAAAGGGGATGTCGCCATAATTATTACGTCGCAAGCAGTAAGTTCAACGTGGGCTTACCCAAACTTACCTGGATGTGCTTGGTTCAGCTTTAATGACTCGGGTGCCAAAGTTGAGGTGCTTGGTTGGGGTGTACAAAAGAATTGGAAACCGCCCAGAATCGCCTGGAATGAGATCAGAACCGGTGATTCCTAAGAATCGATGGGTACCAGTCCGATTCCCGATTTCAGGTGTGGAACCGCCCACCCGCTCACTTGGACCGGACCGGTAATATAATATATATATAATATAATATATTTATTTAATTTTTAATTTAAAAAAGAAAAATCCGAAACCCTAAACTAAACCAGTAAACCTCTCACAATCTCACTCTTCGGTCGACGCCTCTCCTGGATAACTCGATACTCTCTCCTCTTCGACTCTCTCCGTCCCCGTCTCCGTCTCCTCACGAAGTGGATCGAGCGATGAAGATGAAGATCAACCGCGCCTGCGACCTCAACTCCATCTCCGTCTTCCCTCCTCACGCCAGGTTCGTCGCCGCTCTCTCTCCCTCTCTTCCTCTCGTGCAATCGATCGTCCACTTGCTTCGTCTTGAGAAGTCCTTGATTCCGTAGCTTTAAGGAACTACTGTTCTATGTTGATCCGAGTACATGAGCATTCCCGGTCTGGTGATGAGCGGATGACAGTGTGAATCTTCCAATTTCGTGGAATTTTGCTGCTTCTGAACTATCTATTTTTGGCGGAAAAATGCACGAAATGATTGCGATTAGATTACGAATGACTTCATCAGCTGAAATTTGGAGCTTGTAACTGTGCGTTGCTAGTTCTATTGAGGATTGAATCTAAAGATCGATTTTAAACTTTCCGTGAATTATTGACAGAGATGAGGATGCTGTGAAATTTTAGGAAAATCTACAATTAGATGCGGCATCGTCGTGCGGTTCTCACCCTCGGTTTCCTTTTTCTCTCAAGTGACTTGGAAGAGATTGTGCCTCTGAGATGCTGTGAAAACAAGAATTCGGCTGCCTGTGTTTGCGTCCTCATTTATCTATCAATTCTAGAGAAATCCCACAGCTCACTTTAATAGAGATTGTACTAATACACCAAGTGACGAGCAATATACATTTGATTACCTATGACAGTTTCCTATCCTCCATGTTAGAACATTTCATGCTAGTGTCTGTGTAGTCATCTGCTCTTCTTATGGAAGGAATGAAGACCAAAATTGTTGAAGTCCACTGTCTGGCTTCTTCACATGAAAAAGGAGTGGAAAGTTACGCTCCTAAACGTAGTTATTGCAATGTCTTTGGCTCTGGCTTGTTAGGAAGTTCTTGGCACAAATGTCTTTATGTGGTCATATTTAGAAATTTTGAACAACAGGTGAAGGTTTCCACTTTCCAGTCTTTGGCTATGGCTTGTTAGGAAGTTCCTAACTTGAAGAGCAATGTCTGAACAGCAGGTTGAACTTGTGTAACAATATTACAATGCGGACATATGAAGGTTGGTGGGATCAGTTCCATAGACCCACTCGGAAACCGGACCAAACCAGCGGTCCAGTTCCCGAATGAGTCCATGGAATCAACGGGCGGTTCCCGATTCTAGGGTGAGAACCGCCCACCCAGACCATACTCACCCCTAGTGCTTGGCAACACAATATCAAAGGCTTTTGAGCCAAAACTATCATTTCCAAAGTCGCTTAATCTAATGTACCTACGTTTAATTAGGCTTTTGAGGAAAAAAATTTTGGGAAAATGCAAAGGATTTTAGGTTAAAGGATTTTTTCAAAATGCAAATAGTATTTAGTAAATCATTATTTAAAAGTACATTCGAAAACAACTTTGATTTTAATGGTATTTGGAAAACTCGCACTTTGTAAATGACTTTTGCTATTTAAAAAAAACTCTCAAACCGGTGAAGCGCTCAAACTGCCGGCGAGTTGGCACTAGTGACCCCAGGCGAGGGCTGTCGATGCCAAATCTGGCTCGTCAGCGACATCATGCGATGTGAGAGCATTTGTGGAATAGCGAGGGCAAAATTGGAATAAGAAAAACAAAGTATTAATGGTCCGAAAAAGCTAAAAGGCCAAAACTCTTTCAAACTTGCATTAGGCTAAAGGCCATTAGGCTCCCTTTTGAAACCAAAGGACTTTGGGCTTTGGGCCTCTGAAGTCCCTTAAGGAAAACTGGGAGTGTTTGGCAAATTATTTTGGGACCCTTTTAGCCAAATGCTAGCCTTAGCAATTTTTCGAAAGGGCATTTCTTAGGATTAATTAATTTTATTTCAAAATTTCCCTCACTAATTTTTTCGTTTTTGGGTTTTGCCCCCGTAAAAACTGTTCATCTTCTCTGGTGAAGCTCCATCGAGAGTTGTGCAAGGTTGGCCAGCGAGGCTAGATGTGGCTGCTAGCAAGCCAGTCTGGCGTCGGGCAACCTCCCCTAAGGTCACGAGACCTCAAGCCGCGTTGCTTGGGGGAGCACGACCCAAGCGACCTTAAGCGAGGTTGCTAGTGCCAGATATGGCTCGTCGATAGCCAAATTTGGGCTCATCAACCGTTAAACCCTTCGCATGTTTTTAGGTTTTTTTCTTTAAAAAAATTAGCAAAAGTGTTGTACAAAATGTAATTTTTCCAAACACTATTTAAATCAAAATTGTTTTCCAATGCATTTTTAAATTACAATTTACCAAACACTACTTGCTTTTCAAAAAATACCTTTAACATAATGGCCTTTATATTTTCCAAAAGACTTTCCCTAAAAATCGAATCAAATGTACCCTTAAAAAGCTTTGAAAATGCAATTGCATTATTACAAGCTCTCCAAGAGGCTTGCCAAATACCATTTGCCGTGGGCCAAAGGCCTCTAGAGGGAAACTTTTCCCAAACACAGCCTTGAAGTCCCACCCAATATTGACTTTGATCATTTTCGAAATAATATTTGGGGGTTATTTTTTTTCTCTTCCAATTTTGCCCTTGCTAAACTATCCAAACTTTAGTTTTATCCTCATGGGCTTTCCCGTGTAAATTTGATGGCATCACGTAGTGTCCATAAGGAGCCCAAATCTAACTGTTAGCAAGCCAGATCGAGCACCAGTGGCCCTTGCCTGACGTCGCCTGACCTCAAGCAAGCAACCTCGGCATGGCATCGTTGGAGGTTGCAAGACCTCCACGTAGGATTGCATGACCTGGGCATCGACGTAGCACGATCTCTCAACCGGCAAGACCCGAGGTCACATGACCTCGGTGTGGAGTTGCTGGGTCGTGGTGCCCCGACACCTAAGCTAGGGTCTCCTAATTAGCCGGCCCTCAAGGGATCCTTTTTGGAGTTCTTATGCAACAAGAGAAACGACCTGATTTCTAAAATTACGAGATAATTGCTCAAAATCCCATGAATTTTGTCATTGTTGTCCATTGCCCTTAAACTTAGAAAAGTTACGGATTATCATCCTCAACTCTGACACCATTGCACAATTGCCCATGAACTTTGAAATTTTACACATTACCTCCCGAATTCTGATTATTGTTACAGTCGCTAACCAGCTTACCTATGAAACCGTTAAATGTTACTTAAAAATGGAGTTGCTCAATTTTTTTAACCAAAATAACCTATATTACATGGTTACTAAAATTAAATAGAAAAAACAGAGAGAGAATGCATGGTTGATGAAGTAGAGAAAAATTAGCAAATGTTTTTTTGGTTAGGAAAAATGAGTCAAATCCATTTTTCGGATGAAGTTTGACTACTACATATCCTAAATACTAGTGATTGCAACAAAAAGAAAAGCTTAGGGAAGTAATTGTAACTTTTTGACTGGGAGGTATCTGTAGCTTTTCAATGCAATGGTGTGGAAGTTCGGAGATTTTTTAGCAAATAACCCCAATATTAATGTATCGAAGGTTTCTAGAGTCTCGATGAATTGAGAAGGATGGTAGGATGCCGAAGAATGTTCAATTGAATTGTTACGACTTAACAAAACTCGAAACATCTAAAATTCGACATTGGCGAGCTATCATCCACTACAAAAAAACTGATTTTTTCCGACGAAATTTCCAACGAAAAATTCTGGAAAATTCGTTGGAAAACGAATTTCCAACGAATTTTCCAACGAAAAAAATTCGTTGGTAATAGGTCGTTGGAAAATTTTCCGACGAAAAATTTTAATTTTCGTTGGAAATTTGCGACAAAATATTTTCGTTGGAAAACTCGTGACTAAATTCGTTGGAAACGAATTTTTTTTCCGACGAATTTTTTCGTTGGAAATTACAAATTTTTTTTTGATTGAAAAATCGTGGAAAGTTTTTTTCCATCAAATTTTTTTTTGGTCGAAAAATTTCAATTTCAAAAATTTTTTTTGGCCGAAAAATGGCCCTCGCCGCGGCGAGGGCCGGCCTCGTCGCCGCGCGAGGGCCGAGCTCGCCGGATCCGGGCGAGCTCGAGCTCGTCGCCGGCGAGGCCGAGCTCGCCGGATTTGGGCGAGCTCGAGCTCGCCCGGCCATGGCGAGCTCGGCCCTCGCCATGGCCGGCG